ACGAGAGGCAAAACTGTAAGTAGGCCTTATTTTCGGAGGATGTCTTATTTTCGGGGAAACAGGGTATTACACATTCACTCACTGTACATTTTTGAAATTAGTGGACCAGATCCTCAGTTGGTGTAAATGGGTGTAACTCCAGTGACTTCAGGGCAGCTCTGCCAATATACAACAGCCGAGGAGCTGGCCCAGCATGGTTGTAAATTCTGGTAAATACTAAAAGTAAAAAAAAAAAAAAAAGTGTGACCTTCCCCTCACTACAGTCAAGCTAATGAAAAACACAACCTCCATGCTTCCTCACATTATTTTTAATATATCTCTGCTGAAAAGAAATTTCTCTGACAGGAGACTCAGGGGCCATCACCACTGTGACATTTGACCTAGACACACATGGCTTCATTCTGAACTCGCTTACATTGGCATAAATCAGAAAAAGTTCCATTGCAGTGAATGGAAATACTCTGGTATAAATCTAGCATCGGTGAGATTTGCTTCGGGCTCACAGATTTGATATACTGTATTAATGTGGAGAAACCTTTTATACTGCATCATGCCAAAATTTGTATTCTAAATTGTGCTGGCACTGTACAAATGCATAGTGTGAGACAATCCCTTTCCCCAGAAGTTACAATCTAAATAGACAAAGGGTTGGAAGAGAAACAGATGCGTACAGAGGTGAAATGACTTGCCTGCCGTCACCCAGCAGGTCACTGTCAGAGGTGGGAATAGAATCCAGGTGTTCTGGTTCTCACTTCAGGGGCCTGCCCACTAGACCATGCTCAGTCAAATTATTGAATTGAATTAAATAAGGTATAACCCTATATGCAATCAAATGAAAAGAGAATCAAGGTCCTGGGCAAATAAAATGCAACAAGTATAGATAAATGGGTGGCCAGTGAAAACAATCAACTAGGTAAGTGTGGTGACGACGCAGGAAACAGAACGCCAGGTTTGTTGGTAGCCAGAGAGCTTTACAAGCCTCTTGCAAAAAGCCTCCCAGGAAAAC